GGCCCCTCGAATTTCCTTTTAGATCACAGTAAAATAATTAAAAGTTCTTTCAACTAAAATGATTGTTTTATATTTTCAAATATTCTATTCATCCTTCCAGGGTCTATTAATGGAATGTGGAAAATGCACCCCTGAGATGTAGAAGTTTCTTTCTTCCTGGAACCATGACTCACATACAAATGTTTAAAACCGTTAAAGAAAGGAAAAGGGTTTTCTTTGAAACGATTTCACTTCCTTCTTGTTATTTACTGCGGTTACCAGTGTTTGTAATATTACCATGTTCAAAAAGATTGGAGTGTGTCCCCCAAAAGGGCATAAACCAGCTAATCAGGGTGCATTTCACATCCACTAAGACTTGGGTTATCATCTGTATAGACAGGACACTACCAGACCCTAACTAATAATAAAGTAAGACCTCATAGCAAAATATTCTTTAAAGTGTGTGAAAATGCCATGTTTGTAAACACGTTAAAATTTGCCTCCTATATTCATTTTGTTTCAGAGCGTAGGGATTTATTCTAGTGGCAGAGAATGTAAACATGCAATTATAATTACATAAAACTAAACCAGATAATTAGGGATTAAAAAAAATAAAATTTCTCTTGTCTTTTTGTGAATGACTATTTTAAAAAGATTCCATTGCAATATGAAGACTCACGTTCCTAGGGCTTTGACAGACTCAATAAACAAAAGAGATTTTGGGGAACAGGCTGACCATCTGTCCAGAGCTGCCTAAACTTTCAGTAAAGTAGATGAATAAAATTACCCTTCATTATATTATCAGGGCTGTATTTGCATACCCAGATGTACCAGGTTTTGGATAAGCCCCTTAAAATTCCAATCAAAGATTTTGACTGTGTAACAGAACATTAGAAAGTGGCATTACATCAGGTTTAATATTTTAAATACTGTCACTCATCAGATGGTGATCTATCAGGGCTGGCACAAAGCACAGAAGATAAAACTACCTCCTTCGAAATCTTTCACTGCTACGACTGACGACCATCACTGCAACGCTCATAGTCCAGAAATCCAGGAATGAGAGGGACGTGGTCAGTCTCCCGGGTGGATTTCTCTATATTCTTTTCACTTGATCCTACCATGTCAGACCCAGATGCACCAGGGTCACTGTCACTGTCACTTAACGCCTTTGCTTAAGCCATTTTCCTCACTTGGTATGAACAGGCCCTTGTCTATTTACCCAAACCTTAGTCAACACCCTCAGATTTGCGGCTGGTCACATAGCACAGTGGTTCGTGCCTTGGGTTCTGGAATCAGCAGAGGTAGACTTTAATCCCAGCTCCGCCATGTACTAGCTTTAAATTATCCTGAGTAAAATACCTAATTCCTCTAGGCCTAATTTTTCTCATCTGTAAAATGGGACCAATAATTATGCATTCTTCACTAGGGTCGCTCTGGGATTAAAAAACCTAATGTGAGTGTAAAGTCTGGTACATATTCAGGTCTAAGATTTAAATTCTACAAATTTTTATTGCGTGCCTATTACATAGAGGCACTGTGCTAGGTACTAGGATATAATTACTAAATGCTAGCTACTTGTGATTTTTACCATTCCTATTTTCTCCCTGGACTATGCCAACCAACAGAATCGTTTTCTCCTCATAATCTCCAGTGTGCCTACCTCAAATGCAATGCTTTAGTATTTTAATAAGCACAGCCTCAGTCCTTCATTGTTTCATGTGTGTATCTGGTTACCCCAGAAAAGCATGAGCTTCTTAAATAAAGAAAAACGAAATATAGCAGGCATATCACAGAGTAGAAGTCAGAAAATTTGGGTCCTAAATGCATGTCTGTTACTATTACCTGTATCCCCTTGGGCAAGTCATGGCAGGTAACTGGGTTTCATCTGTGGATTGGGAGAGTTGGTTATATGAGTATTTAAATCCTTTTCAACTCTAAACTAAATGATTTCCTTTGGTTTATTTTGTTTGTTTTTTAAGATTGTATTGGGGAACTGGGGGAGGGGAACAGCATTGGGGAATCAGGGAAGGGGAACAGACAAGCTGCTGTCCTTTTGTTCTTCAGTCTAGTTGTGGAGGACNCCAGCGTGCCCCGGCCAATTCCGTATACTCGACATACTTAGTTTAACCAAGGACAGTGATATCTTTAAGGTGCTTTTTTGGGTCCCCAAATATATTTTATGAGTGATAAGACTTTTATTAAAAGAAGAAAAAAAAATCACCTAAATCTCAGCTCCACTCTAAAAAGGAAAATAAACCAAGGTGTTCCCATCGGACCACCTGGAGGGCCAGGGCAGGATAAAGTCACCTGACCCATATTGGGGCTTGCAAGAGAAACAACATGGCGAAGTAGCCATCAGTCGTGGGAGGCCTGTGCGCTCCACACTTTCCTTATTGTAAAAGCAAAAGCCCTGCTACCTCCATCAAGAGAAGTGGACTGAGGCATGCGGGGAACAGGGACGGTTGGGGACGGCTGGAGGGGGTGGGGAGAGGCAGGCTGTGAGACTGGGGGTGATCACCTGGCTACCTAGAGGGAGCTGATAGGACAAACAAGGGGACAGTTGCAGAGGGCAGAGGTCCTGGCTTTCTTATGGCAGCAAAGGGACAGGGATAAGGAGGGGGAAAGACGGAAGCTCAGAAAGCTCAGGCCACACAGGGGGAAATAATACCAATAGGAGCTAACACTTAAAAGGCCGCCGTACCAAGGGCTTTGTATTAGGCGGTAGGTATAATCACTGTCCCCAGTTTAGAGATGAGAAAACTGAAGCACAGAGAGGCTAAGTAACTTGCCCCAGGTCACAGAGACAGTCAAGGACAGCAGAGGTTTAAACCGAGGAGTCGGGCTGCAGAGTTCGCTCCTTCCCTCACCCTGCTACACTGTCTTCTCAGCTGGAGAATTAGTCATGTGGTGTACGTGGAAGGGGAAGCAGGGATTAGGAAACGAGTTAAGAAAGAACAGAAATTAAATAGCAGGGTGTGGTAGGGAAGTGGAAGGAGAAGCTTGAGTGAAGCGTTCTCTAGAGGTGACAAAGCAAGTGTCCCCAATAAAAACGAATCATTCAAGAAAAGCCACTTAGGCCTGAGCCATATTAAGTTGGAGACTGGTTAGCAGGAGTGGGTAGAAAGCTGGATCCTTCCACATGCCACCAACCAAAGATGCTTTCGTGGCTGCCGGGGCCCATGGGCTCTGGAGCGCCGATGGTTTGATGTCTTACCAACTTGACCTTCAGGGACATCTCTGACAGGGCACAGTAAGCCACAGGGAGACTGTTCACCCTCAGGGAATCGGTGCTCCAAGTCAGGGCCCCCAGCCCCCGAGCTGGATGTTAGACTTCTCCCAGCACTGTCTGGAGCCACAGGGTCCTCTTTTAAAATGGATCTGCCTCGCAGAAGGGAAACTCCTCTGTGACAGACAGTCCCTTTTCCCTGGTGCTTTGCTGATCCTCGGGCTACTATTGATCGGCTCTGTGACCCTTTTAGTAGGCAAGGATTTAACCTCTCTGGGCTCCAGTCTCTCATCTATGAAACGTGGATGACCTGAAGAGTCCACGCAGGTAGAACCTGTAGGAAAGAAACTGGTTTTGGAGGGAGCATTGCTGCTGTTGTCTGGGAAAGGCATCCACTGATTGGGAACAGGGAACGCCTGGGAGCAGAGGCTATGGCGGGGACATGGGAGAGGTGACAACAGGTTGTTTCCAGAGGGTCCCGCTGGGCTAGCACAACGGGGAGAGCATGGGTTTCCAAGTCGGGCAGACCTGGGTTTGCAGCCCTGACTAGGATCCCTAGCAAGTGACTTCATCTCTCTGAGCCTCTCTTTCCTTTTATGCAAAATGTGGATGTGGCTTCCCCGACCCTGGGCTTTCTTTGAGGATCAAATGAAAACATGCAGATGAACCATGCGCACAAAGCTACATATTGATATAAGGGCACAAAGCGGGGGATAACCATCAACAGCCCAAGCCACCCCAAGTCTAGAAGACTCTGCCTTTTTGGGGCTCAGTCCAGCTTCCCCCGTGAAGATTGCTTAATCTAACTTCTCCAGCTCTTCCTCTTCTCTTCCAATGAGATCTACCCTCCCCATTAGAAAAAAAGGCAAAGAGTAAAGGAGAGAAAGATCTGTAGAGAAAGAAAAGAGAGGTGTTTAGGGGAAAGTNTATCACCAGCATTTTAGATGTGGCTGTTAACCTGCTCAGAGGCAACCTAAGAAAAGACTGGGTCTTTGTTTCATTTTCATTTGATCACTTCCCTCACCACTAATTCCTGTTTTCACAAATCTGGATCCTTACTAAAGAAGACTCAATATGCAAAAGTCACTGAGGAACTTACTGGAGGAACTTACTGGCATCGTAAACAGCTGCCAAAGCGGAAGAGAAAGTAAGGCACAGGTTTCTGGGGGCTGTGGGCGAGAGGGCGGGGAAGGAAGACATGGCAGTGAACGCTGCGCCCCACTGGCCTTACAGGAACACCAAGCAGGATTGCGGAAGCTGATCCCCACAGGCTGCCTCCTCAGTCCCCCATTCCAGCCCTCATCCCAGGTGTATGCATGGGACAACACACCACTTCCACCTGGATTTGCCTGCTCTAGTTGTTTCTTTCTGGCAAAAGGACTGTGGGCCACTTTGGGGCCAAGAACACTGAATACAGGCTGATGGCCCACAGGCTGGGGTGATGGTTTCTCAGGTATGCTCCACCTGTTAATTCTACAATTTGAGGACTCTCCCAACCGACAAGTCAGCATCCTGGGGGAATTCGGAGATAATTCTTAAGCACAATAAAATGTTAGCATCACTGAGAGAGAACATTCTTGAGAATCACTAATCTAGGCAAGTTTTGTTAAGTATCCATTTTGCACAGAATTATGGCCCCCTAAAGATATCCACATCCTAATAATCCCAAGAACCTGCGAACAGGTTAAGCTACATGGCAAAGGGGAATTAAGGTTGCAGACGGAATTAAGATTGTCAGTCAACAGACCAGCAAGTAGGGAGATAACGTGGGTGGGCCCAACGTAATCACGAGGGTCCTTCCACTAGAAAAATGAAGCAGAAGGCAAGAGTCAGGGGAAGTGAAGTGCCTGTGGCGTCAGCCATGTGAGATGTGATGTGAGAAGGCTTCAACCCATGGAAGCAGGCTTGGACATGGAGGAAGGTGCCCAGCCAAGGAATGCAGGCAGCGTCTAGAAATTGCAAAAAGCAAGGAAACAGATTCTCCCCTACAGCCTTCAGAAAGACTGCAGCCCTCAGTGGGACCTGTGTCTGACTTCTGGGCTCCAGAATTGTAAAATAATAAATTTGTGTTGTGTAAGCCACTAAGTTTGTGAACATCTGTATAGCAGCAATAGAAAACAAATACAGATAAATATCTGTGTTCAATAACATTGATAGATGTGATATCAAAACTGTACTTTGACACTAGGGTTTCTGAAAGGCATAAAGTTTAAGAGACTTCTAAGAACACAAGGAAAATTTCCACCTGTTAGAATTAGGTTGCATTTCTAGGCTTAATTTATATCAATTCTCCTGAAGGTAGTTGTGCTGGATATTTGGATGTTTTCTTGATTGCTTCTGGAGGTCCATTCTCTGCACTGTGCCCTGGAAGGCAGACCTCTATAGACGAGACTCCTTCATCCTTTGGTTTCCAGTTGGGTTCCAGGGGGTGGGGGTGGGGTGGGGTGGGGTACCAGCAGGAGTCTGGAGGACAGTCATGTGTCAAACTTGCACTTGTCCGACCCTGAGTGTGAATCCCTTCTTAAATTTTATGCTCTAGGTTCTTCATGTGCCTTACTCAACAGGAACACTGAAGAAGAACCAAGAAACTCTATCGAGGGTCCAGGAGAGGCTTCCTAGAGCCCGAAGACTACTATGAGCCCAACCAAAAAGTATTGAGAATTCCTCACCGTTTCTGACATGCCTCCCTCCATCACAGCTATGTGCTAAACTATGTCAGGGGTCATGGTTGGGAAAGCAGAAATGAGAAGTCAAGAAAATACAAGCCAACCGTACCAACGGAAGCAATTTCATTTGAAAACTACCCTAGATTAAGCAATTTATCCAGTTATTATACATGCAGCACTGCTATATGCAGATCACATGCAAATATAAATACCACCCTCCATAGGGACAGCTTTTTGATTGTTTTCTCTGGCTTCTAAAGCAAATCCAATTTGGAAAATTGAAATAGAAAATTACACTGTGGCGGTATAACATTTGCCTATGCATCTCAGTGCCTCTACCAATATCCCTAACAGTGTCCATACGCCTAAAAAATGATTTGTTCATGCTGAAGAACTACGTGACCTTGAAGTTAGTTAATTAGGATTGGGAAAGTGCACAGGAATACCCACTTGTGTCTACAGGGACTTAAGAGGGTGAGTGGTTCCCTCCTTTAGGAAGCCATCCTAGATTAACAGTCTTCCCCATCCCTTTCCCAAAGGCCCAGAGTGAGTTCAGTTCCCTCTGCTCCGTGTCTCCACACAGTACTGCTCAATTAATGGGTATTGGATGTATGAAAAATTGAGTGCAGGAATATTAACTGGCCCAGCAAACCCACAGACAGGGCAGCCCTACAAGACCACAATCAACTAAATAAAGTTATGCTTGGACACGCCTTACCTGGGAACTTCAGAAATCTCCCCACTCCTTATCTTCCTTCTGCTCCCCACTGCCCACCCCTGCCCTCAGAGACTTTTAGACCAAAACAATGAAAAAGATAGGAAGAAGTTTATGGCAGGAAGAAGGTGGTAGGATTAATATTCCGAATAAGACTGTAAGGAATTTAAAAGCTGGACCTCCTCTGCAAACATTTGTTTCCTGCACATAAACAGGAAAAGCACACAGAGTCACTGGCAGTTATTTTTAGAAAAAAACAACAACAACAAGGAAACATCTAAAAGATTCAAAAGAAAAAAACCCTTAGGTTGTCTGTGGGCTAACATTTCCACCCTGGAGCAGCACAGTCTGCTGTGGAGTGTCCGTATCCTGTTAGGGC